CCACTATTTTTTGGGGGTTCAGGGATGGGGTCGGAGGGGGGATCGGTGGATCTTTGGAGATAAAAAGAGGAAAAAATATCTGGGATAATCTCTTGGCTACTTGATTCGACCAGCACTTTTGTTTTTCCTCTAACCCTGTTTTCATGATTATCTGTTTTTTTTTTCAGAGTACCGGCGAAACGGTACGAATCGTGGCGTTAGACAATAACTACCACCTCGATTGTTATTCCTGTGAGGTGAGGATTTTAACAAGTCCTGAATCATCTCAATTTCGAAGAGAAAGTTCAGAAAAAGCACTGTACAGTGACATCCGGCTACTTTCTGAGTAGCTCATAACATCTGCAACCTTTTCCTAGCTGCTCCGCAAACTCCTCGGTGTTGACAGTTACTTTCTGAGCATTTTTCTAGCTGTTTACTCTCCCATTCGTTTCTTCCACGAACAGTATGGCCTCTCACAGCACTTACTTATACGTAGTATGCCATCATTTTCCGAATGATATTTGTGTTTCATCACGTCCGTCATATTAATCCGTCACTTTTGAATTTGAATGATTTCCTCTACACCCATGCCCAAAAAAGAGTGTAATCTAGAATGCTAAACACGACCATGGTTGGTGGACTCCCTCCTCCAGTTGGACATCCACCAAAGGGCTCCATCCATTTTCCGTGGACCCGCCCCAGGCTGATGATATTCACCAAGCTCGCAGAGGGACCCAGTCTTTCCTGTCATCCAGTCTTGCCGGGTTTAGCCTGGCCTTCCTGACATTCTCTCTGTCCCCTTTGTGCCTTCATTTACACTCGATTTCTTCTCCTTTCAGACAACCTTCATGTTCCTCGTTGAATCCGCTGGCTCCTCTTCGCTCTCTCATCATTGTCACGGGTCTTGATCTTATTTACATGTCTTCCATTTTACTCCAATCCCTCTCCCTTTATAATCACTTGATCATTGACCAAGCGCGTCCTTCTCTTCTTCGGTCCTACCGGGGCTTCTGCCCACCGTTAGGAATTCATTGTTTGTCAACAACTTGATCTTGGATCATCAAAAATTATTAGTGGAGATTGTGGTCGAAATAAATCATTTCGGTGAAAGACGTCAGCGTTTTTTTATCGTACCTTAATTTTAAGGGATGCGGTCTGAAGCTGACGGACGAAGGAGATGCATGCTGTTATCCACTTGATAAGCATCTTCTCTGTGAAAAATGTCATCTTGCCTGGAGACGTTCCGGTTCTGAAGCACCTATTTCTGACCTGTGACTTTACTAGTACTAGTATGACTCAGTTAAACCTGTGAGGGAATATTAGAGCTCTAAATATGATTTGCTTATTTTCTATCAGTTTGCCATTGTTGTAGCGGAAATCAAAGCTTTCCAGCCATTCAGTCAGTGTAAATATTTCTTCTCTTCTTACATTCTCAGTGTTTTCTGCATGTGTACGAATTATTATCATCAGAATGTATCATTAAGTATTAGTTCATCTGACAAACGTCGTTTATTTCATTTTCATTTACGAACTGTTATGCACATTATGCTGTATAGTTACTCGAATTGATGTAGTAGGGCTTATAACTCATTCTGGCTCTGCAATAATCGCCTTTTTCCATGAAAGTATTATTATTGCTTTGATTTCTAATTATAAATTTCTACGAACCTAATGCTCAAAGTGTTTACCAGCTAGATACTCATAAATACCTTGAACAATAGTTTACTTCCAGATTACTTATAAACTGTGCATTGGTGAAGGTACCTACACTGCTTTCCCCATAACATTAAGTGGGGCAATGTCTCGAATTTTGTACCCAGGTGAATTCCCAGTACTGGGAAGCAGATTGAGGTCCACCGGTTTGAACGACAAATATTCGCTACCTTTCCGACAGGTCGTGCCAGTGAGGGACGGACGTCTTTTTTAATTTCTGGGCTTGAGAGCTAGGTGTTTATAAACCCTGTGAAGACGTTGTAGATAGCCCTGGCCAGGTGGGTCTATGTAAAAATGGATCTAGAGCCCAAATATTGAGTTACCATGCCGCGTTAATCATGATCACCGGTTACCTTTCCCCTCNACGTTGTAGATAGCCCTGGCCAGGTGGGTCTATGTAAAAATGGATCTAGAGCTCAAATATTGAGTTACCATGCCGCGTTAATCATGATCACCGGTTACCTTTCCCCTCGAAATTGGCCATTTCCTTGGTTCACACGTTCCAGCGTGGACCTTCTTGCGAATGTGAGAAAGCCCCAGTGAGGGGATCCATATTCCCGTGAACGAAATGCAAAGCCAGAGTTACAGTCCTACGGCCACTTTAGGGACGGGCTGCTGGATAAAAGAGATTTTGCAACCGATCCATAAAAACACCTTGTGCTGAAGGGCACATGCCAACACAAACGATTCGGTCCGTCGAATCTGTAGGAATAATAATTTCATTGCAGTAATCCCTAGTGACTAATGTTGCCCACTGTATTGTGCTCTATTAGCTTGTGTCGAACTAAAAGCCGATGAATCCTCAGATTTAGTCATGTGCCTTAGTCGTCTCGTTCTTGTTTTCCCATTGATATCTATGTCAGATTGATCGCTTTTCATCAATAAACAATTCTTCAACATTATTTACTTACACTTGATAAGGTAATTTACTTGCAGTTGTCAGTTTACCCGAGTCAGCGCCTGTACGGTACATCCGGAAGAACAAATTCAACGCTTGGATCTGGGGGGAATGAAAAAAATGTTTTCAGAAATCGAATCCGATACGTCCACAGGTTCGATACGTCTGCTGTACCAGTAATGTTGTCGAACTCTATAGTCAACAAGACAGATGGGTCTACCTGTTGGGATGTTGTGAAGTTGTAGTTCTCATACTAGTAGGTGTACGAGATCTGCTTGTGAATTACTATTACAAGAAAACGGAGAAAACGCGAAAATGAAAAGTCAAGTGAATGAAAAAAATGGGAACAGAAAAAAAGGTTCAGTAACTCATGATAGAAGTGGTAATCATTGAGAGGTTAAGTGATAGATCAGATCAAATCAATCATTCAGAACCTATAGACATCCTTACAAAACATTGTATTTGATCTCCTTGGAGCAGTAGTGAACGAAGGAAGTTTCTGGTCGATGGAGTAGGTACCCACCGGGGAATCACCTGTCCAGATGTTCCCGCTCACACTACACTATCCATTACGGTATCTTGTAAATCCGGAGATGTGGGTTGTGATATGGTGAGTAATGAGGCACAGACATCGTCGTCGGTCGGCATCTCAAAGGCTGTTCATGTCCGACTGCTAATGTGATCGGCATCGATTCCGACAGACCATTCATTGCTCGTTGACAACGGTTTCGATGGATTGTGATGGATGAAGTGTGTGGTGAGTTCCGTGTTTCCACGCCACGTGACTAATTTCTCTTCTTCTTCTTGCCAATCAGATAGTCCTATGACAGTAATGTGATAAAAGTTCAGTAGTTGTTCCGACTATCACTGTAATTTTCGATGTACTGTACTGCTGAAACAAGTTCATCCATTTATCTACAGAATAGTTTTCTTATGCCTATGTTAATCCTAAACAAAAATATTTTTGCCATTTGACGGTTTTGGGGTGACCCAGAAGTCTACAGAATTTCGCTACAGTAATTTCCCACCACTTTCTTTGGGTTCTGACGAGAAATGAAATGTGATGTGCAGGAATGTTGCACAACTTGTAATGGAGTGATGAAATACTATAAAGGCTACAAGCTAGCTAACAATAAGACCCTAAGCAAGTGGAGGGGAACAACGTGCGAAAATTCTAGAAATTTTTGGGGCATTGGTGGAATTACGGTAGGACTTTGGAGACGTAC